GCAAAAAGATGCTTTGTCCATCGATCTCTGACAACAAGAATTGGTGCATGGGTCTTCTCGTCCAAAACTACATCATCAGTTCGTGAATTCATGAAACAGTAGTCTACAGTCACTACTGGGGTTGTCTCATCGGTGTGGTCTATCTTCCTGTGGGGGTTTGCCTTGGCTTTTCCCCTTACACAGGCTTCACACCAAGACCTAAAAGGGAAGTGTGAAACAGCATGCTCTTCAAACTCTTTTCGCGTCGGGCGAATGGGAGCATGGATTTGGAGCTCAGGCGGCACTTCGTCGCCTTGCTCGGCCTCTTCGGCCTGCTCCACCGGGCTTACCCATTGCGGTGCCGGACGAAAGGGTGGAATGCAAGCGGCACAGAACAGACGCCGTTGCTGAACGAGATCGGAATCTTAGTTCCGTCTCGGGAGATCTGCCCACCAGATCCGTGCATCTGAATGCACCAGCCCTTGCTCATAAGGGCCCCCGCGGAGAGCAGCGGTTTTGCAACCGCCATCACCCGGAAACAGCAACGTCCATTGAGGGAGTTCTGGCCGATGCCGATGGTCACCCTGGCCTCGATCTTGCCAAGGTCCTTGACCACTTCGCCTGAGGCAGTCTTGTAGACTTTGCAGGTGCCTTCAGGCTGGATAGGCTTGTAGCCCAATGCGGTGGCCAGCTCAACAGGGATGCAGGAGGTCGCGGCTCCTGAATCCAAGGTCACCTGATGAGCCATTGGCGTCTCCATGGATGCCAGCTCCAAACTCTTGAGAGCTAGTGGATCTTCATCGCCTTCATCAGGCTCGCTTGAGGGAGTGGGATATCGTTTTCCCTTTCCCTTCTTGGCCTCACGGGCAGCATCCTGAGTGGCCACGTTGACAGCTCGGGTCAACTGCACCTTCCTCTGCTTGCCCTTTCCTTGGCCCTTCTCGGAGGCAGCCGGAGCCGAAGCGGCTCGGCTTTTGCCCGGGGATCGTGACCGGGACTTCAGCCGAAGCGTCTGCCTTGGCGCTTCGCTGGATTCCTCTGGCTTGGATCCTGGTCCACGGAATCGCTCCTGGTGCTCTTCAGTCGAGCTCTTGAACCAGGCCATGCGTTCCTCCTTGGTCTTGCCTTTCTTCTCAGGAGGTGGAGGTGTCTTGGCAATGCGCCTTTGCTTTGGCGTCTTTGGGCCAACCTCATCTTCCTCCTCCTGTTCTTCCATCATCTGCTGCATATGGGCTGTCATGTAGAAAGGAGGTTCGTTCTTGACGGTCTCAAGCTTTGGATCTTTCATCTTCAAATGCTTTGCCACATCTTCGGGCTTCAGATCCATGTCGGCATCTTTCACATGCTTTGGCGCATCTTTTGAAGTTGGGCTGCCTTGCTGTCCCTTGGCAGTCTTGATGCGCTTTCCCATCTCTTTCTGCTTGATCGTCCATTCCTTTGCCCACTGGTTGAGGACTTTTGGCGGGCAACAATTCAAAGCCATATGATGGTTCCATAGGCCGGTGTCATTGTCACACCTCAGGGCCTTGTTGCACGCACGGCAGACCATGTTCTTGCTGCCATCTCTGTTCTTGTGGGTGCATTTGGCTACCCATTCATCATAGCTGAGGATGCGCTCTTGGAACATGTGATCGAGCCATGGCACGGTATCTTTCTCTTTTTCTTCTTCTTGTCCATCTGACTCCTCGTCAGCTGGCTCAGTGCCATTCTCATCCTCTTCAACTTCACCTTCAAACTCTTCTTCTTCTTCGAGTCCCTCGATCTCAGTCACATCAAGGGGATTGATGTTCTCCGTGACTGGAGCTGCGAAGGATGGTGCGCTTGTTGCTCCTTCGCCTTGGCTTTCGACGCGCTTCATCACAACATAGTCCTCTGGGTTGAACCCAGCTGCAGTGAGCGCCTTGTCGATGACACTGCGGGCTGGATGGCTAGTAGCCGTCCATGTCTGGCTTTCCCGCTTCATCTCTGCCAACTCTTGAGTGGAAAGATCCTCGATCTTGGGCTCCCTCTCTTTTGGCTTCTCAGGCTTCTTTGCCTGCCCTGGCTTCTTGTAGCCACGATGCCTCTGGGCCTTTTCTCGACCTCGAGGCTGAGGGGTTTCATCAAACTTTCCCTCATCATCTTCATCATCCCAAGCTTGAAGTCGACCAGTACCCTTGGCACGAGCGATCTCATAGTAATCGAGCTCCTCAGGGTAATTGGCCTCATAGTCGCGCCAGGATTCGAAACGATCCTGGGCCTTCTCAACGCGATGCTGCTCGGCGCGCTGACGGCTCTTCTCTTTCTTCTTAGCCAATCTTGGGTCCATGCCTGATGCCAAATCAGCTGAGAGCCTTGGCGACTCCGCCGGAACCGAAGCGGCTCGGCAAGGAGTTGGTCTCTTCAGCAAGATCTTGGCTTCTCTCTCCTTTTCTTCATACTGTTCTTTCAGCCTCTTCATCTCGGCCTGTTGTTCCAAGATGGCATCATTGGCTGCTTTGCCTTTGGCTTCGGCCTCTTCGATGGCCTTCTGGATTGTCTCAGACTTCCTCTCATACAGCTCGCGATTGGACTGCATGGTCTCTTGGATTGCTTGGTTCATGACTGCAATCCCAGCAGCTGCAATTCCAGGACGACCTTTTCCAGCTCCTGGCTTCTTTGGCATAGCCTTGACTTCAGTCTCAGCTTTTGCCTTGGCTGCTCCACGAGAAATTGCGGCAGGTGCTGCTTTCTCCATCTCGATGGCAAAGAGGGTGGCGATGTCAGCGGAATACTCAGGCTCGGGTTGATGCTCTTGAGCCATAGAGGTTTCAGATTCCTCAACTGAAGCTACCTTCTTACTCTTACTCTTGCCTTTACCTTTAGAGTCTTTGCCTTTGCCACCTTTGCCTTTACCCTTGGAGTTTTGGTTGTACCAACTACTCTTGTTCCAATCATTCTTATACCAATCGTTCTTGTTCCATGAGTTGTTCCATGACGAGGGATTGGACCATGAAGAACCTTTTCCCTTCTGCTTACCTTTGTTGTTTCCCTTGCCTCCATCTTGACTCTTTCCTTTTCCTTTGCCGCCTTTTGAGCCACCTTTGCCTTTTCCTTTGGCTTTAGCCAGACTTGCAAGTGAAGCTTGCATCTGGCTGGCAGCTGCGGCTAGTGCATCAACATCCATTGGTGCTGATCCAGTCTTTGCTTCTTTTCGGCTCTCGATGTTCTCGAGGTAAGCCAAAATCTCTGACTTCATGATGGCATAGTCAGTGAGTCTTGAACTCTGGAGGTCAAGGTGATCTTGAAGTTTGGCTGGACACATCTGCTGAAGACAACTTCTTGCGATGTCATCATCAAGAGCTTTCTTCTTCCGCTCTTCATACTTTCGCCTGATGTTTTCCCAGGCTTCTATGCTCTCTCTGAGCTTGTCCAATGCACACTGTTGTGGGTGCAGGACCTTCTTCAGCAAAGCTGAGTTTGCTTGTGGGTTCTGTGGATCATACTTGGTGATCAATCGTCTCAATGCCTCTAGGCCAAAGTGCTGACCTCTGGAGGTATTCTTGACAATCTCGAGGGCTTCCCCCTCACATAGTGAGATCAGAGCCTGTCGGGCCTGAGCTGAAACAAGCTCGGCTCCTTCAGGATAATCATCTTCCAGAGATGTCTCATTGATCTCTGTGTCTTGATGCTCTTCGAGGAGCTGAATGCACTTTCCTGCATTCTTGTGACTTGTCTCAATCCAAGTCTTGAACTTGAAGTACCATGAATCCCAGGTACCTGGGTGTCCACTGAACTTATCAGGCTTTGGAATGCCTTTCAACTCGGATCTGTCTCTTACTTCTACGCTAGTGGCTATGTTCCTTGTGATTGCCGTTTGTTGTGTATATGCTTCTGCCATTGCTCGTTGCAATTGGCTCTGCCCCTGTGCTAGGGCTTGCATCATCTGTGCAAATTGTTGTGCCATGTCTGTGGCTTGTGGTGCCTGTGCTCCTGGCTGTTGCGCCATGTTGACTTGCTAGCCAGGGATTGAAGCAATCCGGCTGTCCTGCAAGTGATGCTTGTTTTGTGGATCTCTGGTGCCAGAGCCGATGCGGCTCGGCGACCTTCGATTCGCAGACGGTAGCCGGGTCTTAGAACCGCGGCTCCGCTACCATGAACGGAGAATTTAGGCTCTTAAACTCTGTGACCCCAAGTCACTGTCCCAAAGGTTGTAGTAGAAGCTTAGGCCCACTTTTAGCTCAAACTCGAACAAACGAATTGAACAAACGGCTGCAGTGAAACATACATCTATACAAGCTATATCATGTACATGTAACTGGTGCTACATCTGATCATATATATATATATATAGTTATAGTATATAATATACACAGTATGCAGCGGATGATCATGAGGATCGTGGTGGTGATGATGATGATGAGGAGGAGGAGGGGGAGGAAAGTGTTCATCAAGATCTCGCAGCAAGGGCAGGACAAAGTTTTGTAAACAGAAAGCACAAATATGAAGTGCAAAGAGTAAGCACAGGAGCTTCATTTGGTAGTTTCCTTCTACATGAGCGTAATTGGCAGATTCTTTGATCTCTAGTTCCTGAAATTGCCCGAGTCCTCTTGCAAAGGGTGCGCCCGAATCAGCCTTGACAAGGCCATATAATTAGAGGTTTAAAGGCCTTCCATAGCTTTCTTGAGTCTGAAAAACAGATTTGGGGAAACATTGAAGGTCTCAAATAAGACGTGTCAAGGGTGGCTTTGCTCCTCGTCACTGCTTGCTCCAGCCTCGACGGCTGTTCCCGCCCAGACCTTTATATAGTTGGTGAATGGGGCATGAAGTTCAAGCTGCAGTTCAGAAGCAAAGTAAGCCTGAAAACGGCCAATGGCTAAGGACAATGGCTAGCCACCACGTACCCCCCCATTGACCATTGAGTTAGGAGGGTGGATTCGCCCAACATATTAAACGTCAAAAAGAAAACGTCGCTATCGGACATCACCGGCCCAGAAGGCACCGTCCAGTCGTCCCGTCGTCGTCCCGTCGACCGGGGGGCGTCGGCAACCCCACCAAGAGTCTCGCCCAGGTCGTAAGCGTCGCCCTGGTAGACAGCAACACCTCAAAACGCCGGTCACCGTCCAACGGCCAAGGTTCGGGGGTCTGGAGCGGTGCGGTGCTGAGTTGAGATTTCAACCAGGTTTGAAGAGTCTTTGGATGTTCTGAGTGTGGATGTTCAGGAGACAAAGTCCATCAAAGTCCGCACTCCCTGATTGAAGGCTAGCTTTTAGGTGTTGATCTGTTGATGCAAATTGCAAAGCTAGAGTGTCTACGGCGATTCTGTTGAAAAGTGACAAAAGGTCAGTGAGGCAGAACAAAGTCAAATCTGGAAGCCTTTCTGACTGATTCAATTCGGATATTCCATGCAGGATTTTGCAGGTGTCCCTGAAACGCTCCCACTGGAACATCAATTATATATGTGTATTAACACTTGATTTGCTGGCAACATGCCATGCTGACTGGCACTCGAACCTGGGTTTGCTCCTTCTTGCCCTGGAAGGAGCAAACATAATTAACAATAATATTTAAAAGAATACTTTGCTGATGTGCTGGTGTCAGAATATATGGCACCAGCGGCCCTCATTCTGACTGAGGAATTCTAAGCCTTGAGCGATTTAGACACGTTCTCAGCTCCCAATGGAGTCCGTTGAAGTCCATTGGAGTCAGCGAGTGCCAGCCAAATCCCAGGGCGGCCCAGGGGGTCCAGGGGGCCGAGGAACGTTTGCATCCAGAGCCTTCAACTAACGGTTCAAGTTGGCAGTTTCCTCAGGGGAGAAGAAGCTGTCAGGTGAATCCCAACATGAGATAAAGATGACATGAGCCCACCTGTATACAAAAATTATACAATAGTATACTATAGTGTGCCCACGGCGGTAGATGCCAGGTGTGGCGAACCCATATCCTCCACGAAGAGTTGGATCTTGAAGAGGACATCTTAAGATGCTTAAGAGGTTCACGATGTGAAAACGAGTTTAATGATTTGGACCCCAAAGCGGTTCTGTTCCAGGATGCTCAAGCAAATGGGGAGTTGTTGTAGCCATTGATCACCATGGCACATCATGGTAGAAGCTTCATGACATGCAAAAACCGCCTCGATCAAACTATACTTTTCAGGCTTCAACACCGTTGTTTTCATTCTGCCTCACCACTTGCAAAAAGTGTCACTGCGGTATTTCTTCAGTGCTCCATTCCAGTGTGATATCTGTTGTGCTCCTCGGCATCCTTGACTCAATTTGTCAAAGTCACTGCAGTATGTCAGTATGTTATAATCAAACAAATGATGGCTGCCCCCCTTCATTTCACTACTCACTACGATGTGCAAACACTCAGTCTGGGACAAAATCATAGATGCATGATGCATGCCAATTACATCCAATTACTATGTGGCACATTGGCCACGAAAATACACATGAGGATTTGAGGGGCCAATGTAAGGCAAGTTTCTGACAGCTGTGAGTGGTTGAGGTGTTGTGGTCGCTGTGGTCGTTGCGGGAGTGGTGCTGGACGTCTGCATAGTTGACGTTGCAGTGGACGTGGAGGTGGAGGCCTGGAGTGGGATGGCTCCATGTAGCGAAAAAAGACGTGTTTCATCCGCCTTCGGCTGATTCACCTGGTTCTTCTGCCTAGTACCATCGTGGTTTCGCTGAAGAAGGCGAACGGAGATGGTGCAACATGGTACAACTCCCGCATGAGCCACCACGCACACCCCGCGTGATAAGGAGATGGGTCGGGCCACTTAGGCACCCCATGAGCCACTCTCGACTCCCATCGGTCCTCACCTGGGTGGACGAGCTCGTGGAGCTCGTCGTGGAGCTCGTCGTGGAGCTCGTGGAGCTCGTCGCGAGCTCTTGGAAGTGCCACCGCTGATTGCCTTGGGAGGTGGGTGTAGCGGTGGTGATGGCTGGCGGTGGATGGTTTGGAAGAGACAGATCCACGGGTGTTTTATTCAGCCTGGCTTACATTGACCAAGCAAAACTGGACCAGTTGAATCTGCAGAATCAATTGGCATAGTTTGCAATTGGGGGTGGCATTTCAATCACCCCAGTCGGACTTCAATGGCTAATTCATCAACATCGGGCCCACCATTGCAACAAAAAAGACTTTGAAGCTGCTCGCCACACTCGACCTCCTTGCCAATCCTGCATCCCAAGGTTCGTGAGTGCGAATCAAAGGAAAAACCACATGTCGGCAGCGTGGCCTCTTCTTTCTAACTTACGGTCCTTGAACAATCAGAGGACTTGCGGTGTCTCCTTCCGAACCCACCCACGTCCTCGAAGCTGGAGACATAGCCCGATGGACATAGCCCGATCGACGTCCAGTCGGGCCAAGCGTAAGACCTGGTCGGTAAGACCTCATGTTTCGTACTGGCTTTGCATTTTCCCGGATCCAGTCAAATGAGGTCCATTACAGCCTGTAGGGTATCATGCTCCGCGCTTCCGATGCAGCAAGGTCCAAGGCGCTGAGGTCATTCCTGCAGGTCCACATGTGTACCCTTGAACCCTCAGTGTGTGGATGGGGCGCATCCATGCAAAGTCCATAGCGATTCTTCAGCTGCTTCGTGTCCAGCCAGTCCCAGATTTGGTTCCTCAGCTGTCGAAGCCGAGGTTGAAACATCTCGATTTGTCCAGGTTCTTGGAGAGCTCCACTTCTAAAACACATCAATAGTCTTGCATCAGGCAGCAGGCCTACAACTAGGCCACTAGGCCCTAGGCAGTCTGTAAAGAATGAACAATGGCCTTCCTGGCAAAGACTGCCTTCAAAAACGGCTGTCCTGGCAACTTCCTTGGAACAAGTTTCTCGCAACCTGTCGACCTCGAACGCTTCCATCAGCCACGAACGCTTAAGCCCAAGTGTCTTGTTGGTCTCGCTGCACTCCCACAAATGGATGCCTCACCCAGCCAGTCCGGTGCCCAGTCCCGCGCGGGACAGGGAGGAGCTGTTCGAATCGAAGGATGGATGCCGCCCAACGGAGATGGGTTTAAGTTTAAGTTAAGTGTATATTGCACTCAACGAACGGCAAAGTGATTCACCCCAAATAGCGCCCAAACATACCTGTGCAGTAAGACCATGGTAAGAAAAGATAAGAAAAGTATGTCTTTATATCCTGATTTGTGCACCTGCCTATGGCCTTGAGCACCTGCTTCGTGCCAAGACTAGCTCCCTTCAATCTTATCAACAACCAAATCCTTAATTTGGAACTCGGAACTATAGAGACAAATCACAAACGAATATATTCTACTAATTCCTACTACCACATTTCACGTCTTTCAGTTCTAGTGGAAGGTGCTTGTGAAACATCTCGGGCCATTCCGGGGCCCCGGGCGACCGTTCCGGTGGCTCCGCTGGGAAGCATCCAAGCCTTTGGGGTCATGGAGGTGAGGTATGGGAAATGTGGATCCAAATGGCCAGCCTCGGGGCCATTGTCCTCAATGTTGAATAATACATGATCCGTTGTTAATTTTATATTTGATGATGGTACTGATGTTATGTTAAACCTCTTCATGTCATTATAGTTACTCTAGTTACTATAAATACATGACCTCATGATCATCATGCTGGTATGTTGATCGATGATGATCGATGTATGTTGCAGGGGGGCACATGCCTGCCGGGAAGTTGTCACATGTTGTCACCCCTCGCGTTTGATGTAATTAGGTCTTCTCCGGGTTTCTCTTTTCATTCAACTGCCATCATGTAGACTCTTGATTCATGTTTAGCCCCCATATGAAGAGGTTGTTCCATTCAATTGGGGCAGTGATACTCATCAAGAGTCTACAAGGTCAATACTCCGTCCAAATGGACCGTCACCAAAACAGTTGGCCTCTCAGGGTGACATGCTTTCTCACACCACCGAGCGGACCATACTGACTCTACAATACCCGGCAAAGGATCCCATGGAACCTGAGAATTGGTTTCGGCATGTTTCGGCCATGTTCCTCATATCAACGCAGTGGTTTTGGGGGTTAGTTCCATGTGAATCATGTTAATCTGCAGGGAGTAGGTCAACAAACGCCTTTGTGGACGGTGGACGGACCGGGCGGCACGACCGTCCCGGTCCCCCAGGGGCCCACGTGCACGAGCCGCACCGTGCGCTCATCAGGGAACAACGGCCACCGATGTGATGTAATAAGCCGGTGCTCCTGGGCCAGCTGAATGACTTCATGGTGGAAAGCGCGGGGATGATGGGAGCGATGATTTTCGTGAATTGGAAGTCCGGAATGATCTGATCACCCAACCCCAAAGCAATGACGGCCATGAAATCACAAGGACGTGCATGCGAGTTCTGACGAAGGCCGCTGACGTGCAGGACTCTTCGTCTGTCGGGGGTCCATAGTATGGTCCATGAGCTCATCGAACAGCACAAAAGCAGGCCGTGCTTTTCTAGGTTCCGAGGTCCTTGCTCAGCAAGGTGCCAAGATGTATGTTCCACAAGGACTAAGCAGTTTGTACTCCAGTCCACCTGATGAAAATTGCAGCCATTTTGGGGAGTTGGCACCTTTCTATCCCAGGAACAACTGACTATGTGAACCCCTGTGGCAGCTACACTGGCACCACACAATCGAGCGAAGGCTGGGCGTATCTCTGCTCCGCCATCGCAGCTCCAAGGCTCTGTTCATAGCGCCAATGTTGCAAGGAGTTCTCTGCATCACAGGCCTCCATGCTCGGCCAAATGCCTCAACTTGTCGAGCCCATCGACAGGACAAGGGTGGGCTGGGCTGGCCGCATTCTGCAAACCTAATAGGACCCCAGCAGCCCAGCATGCAGCAAGAAGAGCCATATCAAGCCATGAAGAAGAAGAACCACTGGCAAGATTCATTTGCCTCACTGAGTAGGGGATCACAGACCAGGTCTCCAAAACAGGTCTCCCTGATTCTCCCTGACCATGTCTGGAACCGAGGAGTGGCACCCAGGCTTAGCACCTTCCCGTTTGGGGCGCCGTGTTGGGCACCGCTGGGGTGGAGCCCTGGCAGCCAGGGAGCCGTTCATCGCTGCATTGGAGGCCTCCAGGCAGTTACCATCTTCGTTTGCCTGGAGCCCATGGGATAGACGATCGCTTCGTGGAGTTGTCGTGTCCTTTTCTTGGGGGTATTTCTCTGGAAGGGTCCAGCAATAGTTGGAATCCTATTAGCATCTTGCTTTCACATGAAAGCTTCTGAAGAGATGTAGCTGAGGGGAGAGCCATTTGAGCCAGCTGACCCGAGCGTTTTTGGTCGCTTGACTTCTATGATGCCAAATGAATCCAAATGATAGCCAGCCCACACCGGTCAGGTTGTTCGGAACACGTCCCATCCCGGTGTTATCGGATTCATCCCAGGAATGCACACATCAAGCGAATGCGGCCTGTGATCCAAATGCTTGTGCGGCCTAACCCTGAATGCTGGGCCGTGTGACTAGCAGCTGAAAGTTGTCGCCCTCTATGTGGCGCTCCAAATGGCCCCGCACTTGCAGCAGCGCGGCATAGCTCTTCCGGCATCTTCCGTCCCTGTCAAGAGTGTCCAGGCAAGTTGACTTGGGTGTCAAGTGTCCCTTGCTCAACCCAAAAGCACAAAACATCTCATCATGGAAATGGTTTGCATGGAGGGTTCCTGAGAACTGTTTAACGAGTTCAATGAAACTTTCAATGAAATATGGCAGAGAAGAACGCATTGTCTGCGGAGGCGGACATTGTTAATACCCCCGAAGAGAAGACAATTCTTGATAATGTGTCTAAATGTGTTCAATCAATGACCACATCAGCACAATATAGCCGTTGTGATTCTTTGATGCTGGAGGGCACGGCACCAGGGGATGTTGTTGTATAAGCTCCTTAATTGAACTGGTATCCAAGAAACATGACGTCAAGCCAACCTAGTAACTAGTCTTTCCTTTCCAACATGCCCGCCCCTCACACAACAAACCCGGAAGAGAATTGATCTGGCCAGATTAGATCGGCGCCAAAACTCAGAGAAACCGATATATTAAAAAAAACACAACAAACTTGTAGGGTCCTGGACCCTGGTTTTTCAGTAATACTCATTGCTTCAATATGCTTCTATATTTCTACTGCCTTCGGTACTTGGTGGAGACTTCCCCAAGAATGTCCACAGAATATCAGTGATGGAACTACCATCCGACTCACTAGCATGGAAGTGAGGAACCCCTGTTCGGAGAGGAAAATCGACTAGACTTCCAAGGGACCGACATGTTTGACTTTCGTTTTTGTGAGTCAGAGGCTGCAGCTTCACCATCTTGCATGCTGGGGGCTCACAGGCTGCTAGCGCCGAAGAGGAGAGCGTCAAAAGAGCTATTGCTTTCATAGCGGACGCGCTGTCAGAGAGTCACACAAGCCTTGCTGCTGTTCTGGGCTCAATGAGTGCACTTTTGTTCGGGGGTGTGCCTTGTTCGAGGCACTTTTGGTCTCCAAATGTAGGATTAAATTGCTGATCTCCCCATAGTTGCATTTTTTCTACTAGACCCGACTCATCTCTAATTATATGTTATACGATGTTATACGCTATACATTATGATTCATGATCATGGTCTCTTTGCCTATGCCCACGTTTAAACTGCCTAGATAGACATGCTCTGCAAGGACATCATCTTCTAAAGAATGGGTCTGTTGGCCACGCGGCATCATGCAGCCCCCGCGCCACGCGTTTCGATCTCGCGCTGTTACAATTGTTAAGCCAACGTGCAGCAGGATTGATTATTCTCGAAGGAGTCTTCATGGATCTTTCTCTTGGGGAGTCTGGGGTCTGCTTTCACATGCCAAACCTGAACAACTCCTGCAGCAATCTTAAATACAAGCCTTGCCTTGGCCCTGTACCAAACCTGTATTCAACCAAGGCCGGGGACCTGCAGCAATCTTAAATAGAAGCTGCTCCCTGCGCCCCCGAAACAGCCGTTTCAAGACCAGGGTTTCAAGACCTCGAAGTCAAGGGTGTCAAGACCACACTGACACTTGAGGCATCATCTGACTTCGTTGAACATATTGAAAAACATGTATTTCTTGACAAAGGTAATTATATATATATATACTGGAACCACCCCACAAAATATGCACTGGCCAATGCACCCCACAAAATTCCAAGTTTTAGGATGATGTGGGATGTCCTTTCGTGGGTTGCTTGCTTCAACATCATGAATAAGCTAGATTAATTAAATAAGGAATGAACACACATCCCCCCAACCACCTCGAATCGTCCGCTCTACCGTGGGAGACCCTTTTTCCGCCGCTACCGTTTCGGTGCGGTTCCCAGGTTGCGACCCTGGGCTGCGGCGCGGTCTGCCGCGAGTGAGACCCTGTTCCTCAAAGCTCTGCCCTAGTAACCCTATTTGACTATAGTAATTCAACTGGCAGGCTAATCAGGGAATCTGTTGGGGGTTGTTGCATGGCCCCTTGGATGACCATCTTCCTCTACAAATCATTGTTGTTGTTTTTTTTGGGGGGGGGGTTCAACTTGCAAAATGCTTCCGGGGAGTGTGTCGAATCTGTATATAAATGTGGCCACCTCAACAGCCAACGGTCCTCAACAGCCACCTCTTCTCATCTACGGCGACGCGTCTGGCGTTTGTGCGGCGCTTGGTGCGGCGCTTTGTGCACCGTGTGGACGCCGATACGGTTGGGTGGACCCGCTCAAGTCATCCCCGAAGCTTCCAGTGATCTGATGGAATTCCGTTGGACTCCCCTGACCAGATGTGAAAATGCATTTCACAAGTTCCAAATGGGGCGGTGATACTCATCAAGAGTCTACATTGGGTGACAAGCTACTAAACCACCTCTGGGAGTCTGTGGCATTTTGCCTTTGAAACCACTCCAGGGTGGAGGCCATTGCAACTAGGTCTCTGGTTGTGCTTGGTCTTTATTCCTTATCGATGTGCCGGGGTGCCAGCGTTGCTTTACATCCGTCCACCCGATCTTCGCGCGTCCGGGCAACTGGGCAACTTGAGCCCGACGTTTCCGGGGAAAAAGGGAAATCAACACGCGCAATAGCAACGGGCTTGCCAGATCTTGCCAGATCCTCAAAGAAAAATCATCAGCCGAAAATGGTTGTCTAGCCGGATGTAGTAGAATCCTTTGAATTTGCGGACCATGGGGGGGTGTTACGTACTGAAACATCATGCACAAAGGTGGTCGCGTAGGCGGTAGTCCCTCTTGCTGAAAGGGCTGTAAACAGGACAATCAATCATGTATATCTGTATGTCCACCTGCGCATGCCCTTCGCTGTTTCTATCGGGCCTTTCGCGGACCCAAGGTCCTTTCACAACTTGTAGACTGGCACTCGCAATCTTCCAAATTAAACATGGTCTTGCCGCCAAGTGGGGTGGCTGTGTCAGCAAGAAATGTCTCCAGTAGGTTTTCAAATTGGGTTCAACATGATTGAACATCCAGCAAGCACCTCAGCATCCTAAGATCTATAACGTCCAAGGCCACCCCAAACGCCCACCTTGATTCGGAAAGGAGTCTTCCACTGGTTCCAAAACTGCTGTTGGCCCTTGCCCATCTAGAATAAGGGCAATGAGCGACTGGGGCTCAGGGGATTCAGGAGATACACTCTGAGGCTTGGGTTTACGAGGAATGTGTTCAAATGCATGGCCCTCCCAAGGCATGGACGATGAAACAAATTGCTGTAAGACTTTTCCGATTTTTCCTATCCACAGGGGTTTTGAGGGTAAACTCAATGGCATATGGGGTCAACAGGCATCTGATCACGAACAAGGTTTGGGCGCTCCTTCCCAAGTGCTTGCCAAACAATGCCAAACACAAATGTAATTACTTGGTGTGGACTTCATTGAACTTCTACATGTTGAAGTGCAAATTGATTGAAATTCGAAAAACGTTCTCCACAGTAGTTCTCCACTACAGTACTCACCTAATTTTTCTGTCACCTTCCTCTGACTCCCTTCCGAACGAGTTCGAGGACTTCGGGGTCTCTTTGGACAGTGAGCTGGTGCGGTCAAGGGGTCTAGCAAGCTTTGTCACAATGTCACAGCCTACCTTTGCATGCTGTCAGCCTCCAAGAAATGCATCACGACCAAACCAATCCAACAGTACACAACCAACATGTAACCTGCTTGTTCTATCTACAGCACCACAAAATCGCATGGTTTCGGCTTTCGCTTTGGTGTTCTAAGAGCGCGGCGCGGCTTTTATTGCCTGTGCGGAACATTGATTACCTGCTGAGGGGCCCTCAACTCAGCAGAGTTGATCCCAGCAACCACCAGCGACTCAGCAACTGCTGCAAATAAGAAAAACAAACGGGAACCAAAACAAGAACAAATGAGGCCAGAGGGGGTGAACGAAAGCTAGCCGGGCCTCCTCGTCCAAACAAGTCGGGGGCGGGCTGCACAGTCACTCTCATTGGGTAACTGCCGGTCCACTTGCAAGTCCCGTGGGAAACTCTAGAGAAGCAGTGTTAGTATGTGCTTTGTGGTGCGTCGAGTCTCATTCAGTAAGCAACTGCCACCTGACAGGAGCAGGTTTTGTTTGGTGCCCCCTTTCCATCACTTCTTTGGCTTGGTTTTCCAGCGGTTGCTGTGCCGCGGTCGTCTGCTGCTGCTCTGGGTCTGCTGCTTCTGCTGCTGCTGCTCCTTTGTGGTTTGCTGCAGCTGCTTGGTGGTAGACTGCAGATGCTTGGTGTGCTGCAGCTGCTTGGTGGTCCCGCTCACCGCGCGCAGGGGGAAGTCGAACCCCCGGGGGGGGTGGTCCATAAGATTGCTTTAATCAATTATTTGAGGTTTCTGAGGTGCGTCCACCCCGTCACTTAACTTGCTAAAGCAAGAGCAACTCCAGCTAGCTAAGGCTAGCTTTCGTGCATAGGACTCAAAAATAGTAGAAGCAGTAGCAGTAGCACTCAGTAGCAGTAGCAGCAGCAGCAGCAGCAGCAGTAGTAGTTGTTGTTGTTGTAGTAGTAGCAGTAGCAGTAGCAGTAGCAGCAGCAGCAGCAGCAGAGGAGCAGTCGTCGTCGTCGTCGTAGTAGTAGGAGTAGTAGTAGTAGTGGTGGTCGGTGGTGGTGGTACAGTTGTAGTTGTGGTGGTGGCAGAAGAAGTTGTAGCAGTACTGGTAGGGGTGGTGGTGGTGGTGGTAGAACTACTAGCAGAGCTGGTAGTCATAGTTTTGGTAGTCACGGCCGGCCGGCAGGCCGGCTGGGGCTATGCTTTTTGGCCCACTGGCCGGCCAGCTGATTGAGAAATAGGGGGCCGCGTTAAGCTCGACCTGAGTATGTTCTTTCTTTCTCTTCTTGCTGTTGTTGTTGTTGTTGCCGGTGGGGTGGGTTGGGTTGGGTTGGGTTGGCATCAGCAAGAAAATTCCAGGGAGACTCCAGTTTAGCAAAGTGGCAAGGCCCCCTTGCCCCACACCAAGGAAAAAACAATTGCATGAGCTCCATCTTGGAATCCCGCAACTCATGAGTTTGAAGTGGCTCGAACCCAGCTCAGCGGGATCCTTCCGACGTCCGGTGGATGGTTCGCTACAGTGCCTCGATGAGTCCTCAAGTTCGACCAATTCCTTGTCTCTCTCCATCACAACCGTCGTAGCCGATTTGAAGGGTATACTTGGCCCATCTTAGCCCTATTTGTGACTTCGTTGACCCGGCCCAGAAAGTCAAGAAAAGAAGCATCTATGGACAGGACATGACAGGTAGTTTTGGGGAGTGTCATGTGACCGTCCTGTACAACCATGTGAAGGCGTGAGAGAGATGTTCTGTCATGAGTCATTGTCTTCTTTGCCCATCCTGAACTCACCTAGGCACCACAGGAACCGGCCCCTAGAAAGCTAATTGGCACATGCAGCACAGCTTTTTTAAAGCTCGGCCCAGCTAATCGGCCCTGTCGTTCCAGGTCGCCAGGTCCATGCAGGTCCTGATATTCATCCGAGACTTCCCAGCGGTTTGAACCATCGTTCCAATCAGGGAACTCACAGACCATGAATCCTAGCTCATCCGCCAGGGAGAAGTAGAGCGGTTCAAAGACCGATGCAATCGCGCTCCATTGAAACCCATTTCCCGCGCCAACTCGATGTCCTTTCTCAAAGCCTCCACAGAGGGTGACAAACGGTTGCAAGTGACATACATACTGGGTGCAAATCACATGGGAGTTGAGGCGTCAAGTGACAGAACTAGCATTTAAATGTTACATTACATGTTTCCGAACATCGTGAAGCTGCAAATCTTGGGTTGGCATGGGCCCGGCAGGAGGAGATCGTCCCCAAGGGTGCGATGGTGAACCATCGTTCTGGTCGTGCCACTGGCCCCGCTTTCCCGACCACGTAGAAACGTCCAAAACGTTCGCCATCACTCCTGTTTGGGAACCGATCGTGAACTCTAGACTGTACACCTCTCCCTGGCCGCACCAAAA